TTTTAAAAAAACAGTATATAGATAGGGAACTGCAAGAGGTTCAAGTTGGGTTTAGAAAAGGCTGTAGCACCAGTAATATCATTGCTAATGTCAAATAGATCCTGGCTGAATGCAGATAATACTAGAAGACTGTCTATTTGTGTTTTATTGACTATGCAAAGGCATTTGACTATTTAGCTAACAACAAATTATAACTAATGTTGAAAAGAACAGGGATCTCTGAATACTTGATAATTTTCCTATAAATCCATGCCCAAAGTTCTTGTCCAAACAGAGTGGTGAACACTATGTGGTCCAAAATCAAGAAAGGCATGTGCTAAGGCTCTAGCTGTTCTCTATACCTATTCAATCTGTATGCTGAGCAAATAATTTAAGAATCTGAACTTTGTGACAGAGCAATGTGCCATCAAGATCAGAGGAAGACTCATTAACAAGCTACATCATGCAGATGATACAGCCTCTTTTGCTGAAAGACGACTTGAAACAGTTCCATTAGAAGATCAAAGATTACAGCCTTCTGTATGGATTGTATCTTATCATCAAAAAGCTTTACCACTAGGCTGATAGACAGTTATAATTACAGATGAAGAAAAATTTGAAATTGTCAATAATATCATCTTACTTGCATCCACAATCAACAAACACCCTTGATGCCAACAGTCAAGAAAGCAAAAGATGTGTTATATTGGGAAGTCTCCCATTAAGGACCTCTCCAAAACACTAAGGAAAAATGATGTCCTAAGGTGTCCTTATTTCAGAATATGGTCCTTCCAATCATTTGCTATGCATCTGAGAATTGGATAGTTAGTAAGTATGACAGGAAAAGAATTAATGTCTTTGAGTTGTGATGTTGGAGAAGAGTGCTGAATATACAATGGATTGCAAAAAGAGAACCAAAAGATATTACGTCTTCAAGAAAGTGCAGCCAAAGAGAGTGTTCCTTGGAGGCAAGGGTTATTTATGAAGCTTCATTTCACACACTTTCAGCATTTTGTTAATAGGAGCTATTCCTTGGAAAGGGATAACACATTTGGAAAGGTGAAAGGTCAGTGAAAGACAGGAAGATCCTCAATGAGATAGAGTGACAGTGATTGCAGCAATGGGCTCAAGTATGTCAGAGATGATGAATATGACACAGGATAGGACAGGGTTCAGATCCATGTTCATAGGGTCACTTAGGGTTATACTTTACTCAACGACAGCTAATAACAACAATGGCTAATGATCATAAGTATTGCATTACTTGTTGGTCATATAGCACTCCCTTTTTTGACAGTTTGAATGTCTTCTTTGGTGAAATGCCTGTTTGGATTTTCTGCTCCTTTTTAAATTGGATTGCTTGTCTTTTTGTTAAGTAGTATTTTTGCTTTGTAACTTAAGATATGACTTTTAAATGAAATGTCATCTAAAACACTTAGCTGTTGGACAGTATACTCCAGAAATGTGTGCAAAACAATAATATTTTTCTCTTCTTAGGCAACTTTTATTGAATTGGGGTTGTAAGTTGCAGAATATAATGTTGTTTGCCAAATTCGGTCATCTTTTTTTTTTTAAATGTCATACAGGGTGTGGTGTCTTTAGAGAATTAAAAATAATTGTACTGTTGCCCTTAACACTCTGAAACTGAGAGCAGACTTTTCTAAAGAAAAAAAAAATTGTAGCTCCTGTTGTTTTTCTCCTTTACTTTCCCAAAAATGGTAAAAATAATGTACCCCCAGGGAAATTCTTACTCTTAGTAGATAGGGCCTTGGGTTTCCTCACTCTTAGAAAAAGAGTCATATTTTTATATTTCTTTAGCCAGTTTTGGGGGTTTTCTTCTTTCTTGGAATGTTTATGTTCTTAACATTGTAAACTCATCATTAGAAATAAATTTTTGGTAAGGACTGCTTTAATCCTCCCCTGTCCCTTTAGACATGAAAACACAATTTAGAAAGAACACAAATGAAGTACTAAAATCTCTACAGATATAGGCAGTAGTAGCACAGTTGCTTAAAAATTTCAGTTGTCTGCTGAATCTAGTTTGTTCTTGTTATTCTTTTATTAACCCCTGGTTGTTGGGAAGCACTTAAATGTTTAAGTTTCTGTTTTTCTGTAATTAAATCAAGGAAAGCCAATCCTACAAGGATGGAATCGTTCTTAGAAAACCAAATTCTCTGTAAAATGGAATTCTAAATTTATTTTATCTTCCCCTCATTTTCCAGGCATTTAATAAAACATTTTTTAAAAAAAATCTTAACTTTTTATTATATCACTTTTTTAAATTTTTTTTCTATATTTTATTAATTTTCATAAACATTTACAGAGATTTTGGGTTTCCATTCATTCATTGTTGTACTATTCTCTCTACCCTCCTCCCAGTTTGTTCTTGTCCAAATGCCACAGTGCTTGTCAAAGCCAGTTCTGATTAATCTTCTTTGTCAGTGTGTCCTTTGCCATTCCCTATCACTCCTCCCTGAGAGAGACTTCACCCTGAGTCATAAGGAAAAGGGGATGGCATATTCTCTTAGCTACTTCCTGCTGAAAAGGGACGCTGTGGGTTTCAGGGTGAAGATCTTCTCTCACTACTCTAAAGGGCCCCTTTGGCAGTAGGAAACACATAGACTATTATGGAGATTGATTTTGGAGTTTAGATGCACTCTTATTGATTGTGCTTGGCCGTACATGTTCATATCCTTGAAGATGTATCATGGGGGTGTTGCAACCTAGAAGACACAAATTTGACTAACAAGTTATAAGTACATGAGTCCAAAAATTATGGAAAAGTAAAAGAAAAGATTCTTTCATTGTTTTACAAACCCTCCCCCAGGTCCCCTCCACCATGTAGCCCTCGCTCTAGTCTCCTGTGATGACAGAAATACCTAGTTATATATCTCTTTTAAACAGTTTTCTCCCTCCTCTGTTTCAGTGCAGTATACATTATTGAACCCATCTTACTCAGTCTCTTCCCAACCCCAAGGACAGTCCCATTCTACAACAGTGGCATCATGTAATATTTGTCCTTTTGTGACTGGGATATTTCACTCAGCATAATGTTCTCCAGAGTCAACCATTTTGAATAATATTGCATGAGTTCCTTGTTTTTTAATGCAGCATAGTATTCCATTGTGCGAATATACCACAGCTTCTCTAGCCATTCGTTTGTTGATGGGCACTTAGGTTGTTTCCAACTCCTTGCTATTGTGAACAAAGCTGCAATAAACATGGGTGTGCATATATCTGCTTGGATGTCAGCTATGGTCTCTTCAGGGTATATTCCCAGTAGTGGAATTGCTGGGTCAAATGGTATCTCTATTTGCAACTTTTTGAGAAAGCGCCATACTGCTTTCCACAGGGGTTGCACCATTTTACACTCCCACCAACAGTGAATCAGGGTTCCAGTTTCTCCACAACCTCGCCAGCATTTGTTGCTTGCTGTTCTGTTAAATTTAAATTTTTTAAGTTTTTTTAGTTTATACTGATTTCTTTACAAAATTTGAATACATTGTTTTTCCCACAAGACCTTTCCCATTTCCTTCACCACCTTCAAACATCAAATTGTGCGACCCTATGATTAATCCATCCCCTCCCCATCCTCACCCCTCTGCTTCCACCCCCTCCCCTTGCATCCTTATACTCATTCTACAATAATGGTTTTAAACAGTATTTGTCTTTATGGGACTGAGTTAGTTCACTCAGCATAATACTCTCCAGTCCCTCCCAAGTTAGATAGTAATTTACAAAATCATTGTTCCTGCATGCTGCATAATATTCCTTTGTATGAATGCACCACAACTTCTCAATCTACTCGTTGTGGTCGGACATCTCGGCTGTTTCAATATTCTTGCAGTGGTAAATAATGCTTCTACGAACATTGGTATACAAGTCTCCATGTGAGCCTCAGTTCTCATTTTCTTGAGATATATTCCAAGCAGTAGAATAGCTGGATCATAAGGACTTTTTTTCAGTAAGAAATTGCTGCAAAAACTCTTTTAAGAATACAGAGATACCAACAAAGAAATACTAATTTCAGAATATAGATATGGAGATTAGCTGATCCATACAACAGTAATACGAGATACGGAGATTAATAGCTCTATAAAGTATGATAATGAGATATGGAGATTAGCTAATCCATATGAAGATGAGATATAGAGATTTCTTGATCCCTATAATATGAATATGATATATGGAGACTAGTTGATTTCAGTTTTGTCTTCATTAGTTTACAAAGATCATTCTTCAACAATTCATTCACAAATCACTTCCCTGGAAACCCATTTCTAAGACCTCTTCTTAAAGAGTCCATGTTCCTCATCATTTTCACATAACAAAAAGAATTAAATGACGTTACTGTTGTAATATCAACATTGCGAGGATGTGTGTATGTGTATTTCAAGTAAGTTAGTAAGAGCAGAAATTAAAATACAGAACGGTCCCCATTCTGGACTTTTGGAGAGAGAGAAATAAAGGGGTTCCAGGGTTTCGTCCAGGAACCACCAAGGGCTCATACTTTTTCTTTCAAAGCTCTGGAAGAAAAGCATTTTCCCAGGCAAAGCTCAGAAGCCCTCCCGGGGTATGATCACTGAGCCAGGTCGGCTCGGGTACCACCGGGCCGGGACCTCCTAGTGCCCTGGGCGCAGCCCCTGCAGCTGGGGTGCGGGAGCAACCGCGGGTCCCGGGGTGCCGCCCTCGCGGAAGGGAGGAGGCGGCCTGGCCTGGGAGCCGCCCCTCCCGCTGCCCGAGAACAAACGGCATATTCAGCCTGGGCCTGCGGCTGCCAGAGCGACTCCTCCGGGGAAATGAAGCGTTGAGTCAGACGGCACCGGAGTCGCCCTTAAAAGCGCCCCCACCCTGCGTGGCGCGCACACTCTCGGCTACCTGGGCTGCCCCTGGGCCCGTCGTGCGCACGCGGAGTGACGGCTCGAACCGCCGACACAGCGTCCATGCCGGCGTGAACCGGGCTTCAGCCGGCCAGCCCCGTGCGCACCGCCGTGCGCGCCTCTGTGGGCGCCGCCGGGGCGCAGGCACCGAACACCCAGCCCGGCCATGAGGGGCACGAGCGCCCGGGCCCCGCTCTGCCTGCTGCTGGCCGCCGCCCAGCTCGCGCTGCCGCAGCCCCCGGAGAGGTAAGGCGACCCCCGCCCCGGGTTCTCCCCTTCTGCGTGCGCTCCCTTCCGCTGCTTTCTCCTTCCCGCCGGGGAGGCGCCCGGTGACCCTAGTAGACCTTGCCCCCGTTTCCCACCCCCCAACCCCGCCCGCGCTCCTCCCGGGGTCCCAGCACCGCGCCTGCCCGGCTTTCCAAACCCAGTGGCCCTGCACTCACCGGGCCACCACGTGGCGCGAGCTTAATTTGACTCGCTTCTCTGGTCCCCGAATGCTTATGAGGGCGGGGAAAGGATTGGGGCTCGACTACGTGAACTCCGATTTACTTCTGTTTGCGACTACCTGCCTGGCATGCTTTGCCCAGGGACCCAAAGCCGACGGGAGAAGTGAGTTGCAAGGTCCCCAGGGAGCAGCTCTGGGGAAGTTAAGTCTTGCAAGCTGCAGGACAAGTCCAGTACCTGGACTATAGGGAACCCGCCCCGGGCCAGCTCGTGGGTCTCCTTCCCCCCTCCCCCCGCCTCCTTTGCAGTCAACCACATTTTTCAGGGGAAAGCTCTGCTGGTGACACACAATTTTCGGAAATGGGCAGAAAAGCAGGCATCATGTCAAAGCTGAGAATTTGAAACTTTTCCTAAACTGTGTGTCTGATACAGCACAGTTCTAAGTGTCACCCCTCCTAACGCAGGTTAAATGGATCGAGTTAGCAGTATTCCTATAAGGCTTTATTTATGTTTGACTTTGTGTGTGTGTAACATTACACGTAGGTTCACCATGAGTCCGAACTGACTGTACAAAGCTTTACAGTTGAAAGCAAAGCAATTAAAATCTATATCTATCTATATCTTTACTGTTGAGTGTGTGCCCAGCATTTATTACACATGGGGTTGCCATGAGTCTTATTTGACTGGATGAGGACTTGGCTTTGTCACTGCGTGTGCCCATACATGGACTTCTCAGAAAACAAAACAGGTTCATCCTTTAGAGGGAGAAACAAGCCTCTTCCTTGGAGGCAGTATTCTGAAGCTTCGTCTGACATACTTTGGGCATGTTGCAAGGAGGAACCAGTCCTTGTATATAGATGTCCTGCTAGGAAGGATGATGGGACAGCTCGAGAGAGGAAGATTCTTGATGAGATGGATTGATTCAGTGACTGGGGTAATGGAGGTAGGTGTGTCAGAGGCAGTAAGATTGGCACAGGCTAGAGAAGGGTCGCTATGAGCTGCAGGCGACTTGACAGTACATAACAACAACAGCAACATACTTGTTATTGTTGTTGTGCATATTGAGTCTGAACTCCGGCAGGTTTTCAGAGGCAGTTAATTGCACAGAAGGGCATTGCTCATCCTTCTCCCATGAAGCAGCTGGTGGCCTCAAACTGCATGCCTTTGGGATTGCAGTGCAGCTTCTTGCCACTAGCATATACACATGCATGTACCCATATGTATACATATACATGCTGTTGTTACATTCCATCAGTCACAAGAGACTCATAGCGACCCTGTGTACAACAGGTCTGAACCCTGCTCTATCCCAAGCCCACCTTGTCTCTCATCTACCTCCATACCTATGCATATACATATATATGTACATATACATAGGGACCTATAATGATAAGAAACTGCACTGCAATCCCAAAGGCAGGCAGTTCGAATCCAACAGCTGCTCTGCGGGAGAGGAATGGGCAGTCTCCTCCTGTGATATTAACTGCCTCTGAAAACCCATCGGAGAGTAAGCTACGGGTTGGTTCCAATGGAATGGAAGCAACTCGAGTGGCATAGCGTGTAACCAGTCGGGCTGTTAAAGGTCCCTGGTTGAATCCCCAGTCTTCCATGGGTGAAGGATGGGCAACCTCCTGTATAAATATACACCCTTGAAAATCCAATAACAGACATGATTTTGTGTTACTATGATAGTGTCTGATGGACTGAATATATCATGCGGCTATAAATTAAATATTCTGAGAGCTAGCAAGCAGCAGACATTTGTTAATCGACATGAACTTTCTAAAGTCTCCCCTGCACTGGGCACCTAACAACAACAAAATTGACATTCCATTGGGTTACAGTTTCAGATCCTTTGCATCTCTTCTTTTTTCCAGACCTGTTTTCACATGTGGCGGCATTTTCACTGGCGAGTCTGGCTTCATTGGCAGCGAAGGCTTTCCTGGAGTGTACCCTCCAAACAGCAGATGCACTTGGAAAATCACAGTAAGCATTTTTGTAAAAGGTGTTCTCCTGGAAGAGAGTCCTGGAACCAGTAGAGAGCGTTTTCCCCTCTGGTGTCAGGATTTGGGTTTAGGGCAAATGCTTGAAATAATGAAACCTTGTTGGCGTGCCCTCAACTATTTGGGGGATCGTTACTGATAGAACTTGCCACGTCCTACATCAGTGACTAGAAAACATATCTAAGATAGAACTTGAAGGAATAAATTCTTAAAACAGATGTGTTTCTACTCAGCGTGACCCGGTTGAGTTTTCATGGATTAATTAAGACTATTTTCAAAAAGTCAAAGCCCTATTATAATGACCTCTAGAGCCTGTGTCTTGCAGAAAAATCTCCCGCAGGGGGAAAAAAATAATTCTCACAGACTACCTCTGGGTTGGAATCCCCCCTACAGACCATCTAAACTAAAAGCTGAGCCAGAAACCCACCTCCAGTTCATGGAGAGCCTCCTTGGGTCTCCAGGGCCCTAAATGTCAACAGGTGGGGCTTGCCTGCCTTTCTTCTTCAGAGGTGCTGGTGGAACCCCCGGCCCTGTCCTTTTGTATAACAGTGCAGCACCAGTTAGCGAGACCACCAGTTAGCAAATAAAAAGATCCTAAATTAAGCAAGCACCAGTTGCAAAGCTAGTGTTGTTGATATCAGTTATGCAGAGTCAAGATAAGACCTGAGAATGGAGATAGCCAGCTGAAAGCAAAAAAAAAAAACCCCCAAAAACCAAAAAAAAAACTAACAAAAAAACCCACTCAGAATTTAGATTCACAACCCCCCCCCCAAATTTAGAGTCAGCTAGACTGAGTCATTTTTCTAGTCAGTGGGGCAGAAAACATCTGGCTTTATTTTTTTTTTATATGTATAATTTCTGGGAAGTTGGTAATTGAACATATTGGTCTGTGGAGATCTGTGTTCAGTTAGTGTGCCACTCCCTGATTTTTACTTTAAACAATAGCTACCATTTCATTGTTGTTGTTGCGAACCATAGAGTCAGAACCTACTCATAGCTGACCCTGCAGTAAGTTTTCAGAGGCAGCGAATCACATGGGAGGAGATAGTCCATCTTTCTCCAGCGACGCAACTAATGGATTCCAACTGCATACCTTTGCGTTGACAGTACAATTTCTTACCACAAAGCCACCTTGCTTGCTGAAAATGAAGACTTGAAATGCTTGCTACCAAAGATCAAAGACTCCAGCCTTCAATGTGGATTGTATATCAACATCAAGAAGACAGCTGAACCAGTAAGCAAAATTATGATAGATGGAGAAAAGATTGATGTTGTCAACGATTTCATCTTACTTGCATCTGTAATCAACACTTGTGGTACCAGCAATCAGGAGATCAGGAGACATTGAACTGGGCAAGTCTGCTGTCAGGGACTTCTCCAAAACACTGAAGAGCAGTGATAACAGTTTGAAGACTAAGATGTGCCTGATTCAGGCCATGATCTTTTCCATTATTAGCTATGCATCTGAGAACTAGACAATGAATAAGGAAGACAGAAGAAGAATTGATGCCTTTAAGTTGCAGTACTGAAGACTAGTACTGATTATCCTATGGACTGCCAAAAGAACATATATATTTAGAGCCAGCCAGAATGCTTCCTAGAAGTAAGAATGACAAAGCTTCATCTCAGGTACTTTGGATATGTTTCTAGGAGAGGCTATTTCTTGGAGAGAACAAAAGAGAGGAAGACCCTCAACAAGGTGAATTGACACAGTGACTATAATAATGGGTTCCAATCTATCAGAGATCGTGAAAATACCGCAGGATAGGACAGAGTTCAGGTCTGTTGTTCATAGGATTACTAGGAGTCGTTTTTAACTTGATGGCACCTAACATCAACAACCATTTCATTAATGGTGCACTTACTGTGTAACCGGAAGCACCAAACAGTTATCATCCGACGAGTTGGTACAGATTCCATGACGGTATTGTAGCGTTGAGAGCAAAATAATACCTTGTGAAAGCAGCTCTATTCAGAATTTGACTTGGCCTTCATATAGAGGTATAGTTGGCCAAGTGCAAGGAGCTCAACTTTTGTTTCTAGCAGCTGTGCACACTGGAGGGAAGCCTAGACCCTCCGACGACTCTTGAGGAGGTAAATAGGAATTGTTATTAAAAATTGGCTTTCTAGATAAAAAGTCAGGTTGCATAGTGGAATGTACTTGGGGTGGTGCGAGGGGTG